TTTGTCCTATCTAGCTTAGCAGATGTTAACCAACTTCTCCCCATCTCTCCCCCCACCTAATGTCTGATGCCTGTGGAATCCACTATCACACTGTCAACTTCTGTGAGATTAACTATTTTAGATTCCACACATGAGTAAGCTCAGGTGTACTGGTCTTTCTGTGCCTTCATGGTTTCAGTTATCATGAGGCTGGTTTCATCCATGCTGCTGCAAATGACAGGACCTCATTTCCTATGGGCGAGTGTCTTCCACGGTGTGTCCCTGCCACATTTTCTTTATCCATCCATTACTGGAAGGACACTCAGTACACTTCCACACCTCGGCTACTGGGAACAGCTCTGCTTGGGGTGCAGATGCTTCTTCAACACACTGCTTCCATTTCTTTTAGGTGTATACCCCGAGGAGAGATAACTGGATGATGTGGAAGTTGTGTGTCTTATTGTTTTAGGAAACTGCATACCATTTTCCATAATGGCTGTATTAATTTATATTTCCATCTAGCATATGCTGGAATTCCTTTTTCTCTACATCCTAGCCAGCATACTAAAACAGTGTAAATTTATTTTGTAGGTGCATTGGCCACAGTATATATGAGATAGACTTGTAAAGGTAAAGGACTTTGGGGGCCCACAAGCCCCAAACCTCAAGTGCACATAGAATCAAAACACATTGCATTATGGAATGAATGCCCTGGCCCTCATCATTCCCATGCTCTGATATATTACTTAGATTGGTCCTAAGGTCAGTCATGTAGCAGACCACCCTGTCATCACCCTGTCATTACCCTCTCCTTCCCCTGTCCTCCACGTGAATTCCTGCACAGGTGTTCTTCTTTGTCCTTTATCTTTGTTTCCTGGTCCTATCAATAAAAATCCATAGAAGCTTCATATTGGGGCTGTTTTTTCCTGAGTCTCTCTCATGATGAGTAGTCTCAGTTAAGGCAGCCCCTCTGGGCCCTTTTGGAGGTAAAACTGGACATGGACTCTGACTAATCGCTCAGAAATAGGGACATTATTCTCTTGAAATTCTAGAGGCCAAAAGTATAAATGAGTCTTATAGTATCAGCAAATTCCTAGCACAATTCTTACCAAGGATCTTCAGGTGGAGATATTTGCCTGTTACCATCAGCACCAGGTCCTGCATTGGGCTGAGCATTTGGTAGTCGGGACTTAGAGAGCAGAATGCTCCAAACTGGACAGGCTGAGGCCAGTGCAGGAGAGGGAGGCCAATGGAGCACAGGAACAAGAAGAAGAAAGTCCCAGTCAGCACAGGGATTGGGGTTATGATGTGCCTTTCACAGTGGGGAAGACATCACAGGTGTGCTGGTATTGACAGATGTGCCCAGCCTGAAGGGTTGACCAGCCTGAAGGGTTGACCAGCCTGAAGGGTGAGGGCGGCATGAAGCAAACTCTGCAGTCAGCATCTAGGGGGCAGCTCCTGCCCAGGGCCTTCCAGGTACAGAATCAGCTTGGTCTGTCAAAGGAATGAACACAAATGGCTGAATCTCCTAGGCATGCAAACACAGAGGTCTGTGTGCTGTGTGACCCTGGTGTGAGGATTAATCCAGGACTCTTGTAGCACCTTGTATAGAAATGGCTGTGATGAATAAGTAATGGTTCTGCTAAAATTTCAATGGCTCAGGTTCATTTAATGACCCTTCCTAAGGACAAGGGGTGTATAATGCTCACATGACTAAAATAAGTGAGGAAGGTAAGTTGTGTGATATTGAGAATTTGTAGTGTCACTGTGCTTACATGGTAGATGCTCAACCAAATGCAACAACTATGATTGGTTAAGATACCATTCTCCACCCTCTGGGAGGATTCATTGAGAAGGTGAGATAAGCATGGTCATTTTCTTGCCTTTTCAAGTGCCACTCACTATGCAACAGATGATTCAGATAAAGTACCAATCTCATTTCCGTGACAGGTACTTGCTCTGCATTCATTAGCACTCGTCAGTACTTCCCTTCATGATAACCTCCAGCGTTAGCAGGCTTAGAATTTTCTCTTGTCTTTGGTTCATGGTCAGTCTGCTGTGAGTTGTTTCTACAGCGCACATGACTGTCTTTTTCCAATCATCAGGCCTAGGGACATTAGACCTATTGAAAATCAAGAGGTGCCTGTGTGGAAGGACACAGACCAGAGACTAGAGACAGAAAGTGTTTTTGTTTTCATTTTAAGAGCAACAAAAAACCATTTACTGCCAGTAGTATAGAGGACTTCAGGGTTTGGCATAATTCAGCCACAGCAGATAAATTTCTTTGCAATACTGTGGTGAACATGGCCCTGCCTCACCTACAGCTTCTCAGGGAGCTTTGGGGTTTGACCACCTACATAAGATCAATCACTACCTATGTATTCTATGGACCTTTTCTAGTAATTCATTCCATTAAAATCCTACAAAAATGTCAAGATGGTCTCAAAAACTGTCCTAATTTACCTACCAGGACAAAGAGTAGATTATGCTGCATGTCAAACCTACTTATCACCCATTTGGGAAAGCTTCAGAGTGTGTTATTTTGCTTCTCAGGCACAGAACCCAGGGACTAAGCCTCATAGCTCAAGGATAACTTTTATGTCAAAAGGTCTGTTGCTATTGGAGGGTTTCCATGGTGAGCAAAGTGACAGCCAGGGCCTTCTACATGCCGTGGGCGAGGGCAGGTGACTCTGGGCAGTTCCCAGGGAGTAGGGGGCACCCATGGCCCGCTCATCTTACATTCTTAATTCAGGCCAGGTGAGTGCCTTGGACACGGGGACTTTCTGCACCCTGAGAGGTATTTTCATTTCTCTGAGTACAGAGCTGAACTCAGAAACAGAGCTGGGTTCAGGCTGGGAGGAGTGGGAACAGGGTGGCCTCTAGATGACCTCACACTGGGAGTCCAGTCCTGGCCTTGGCATTTACCACACAGGGATCCTGAGCAGTTCCCAAGCCCAGCAGGCCTCAGGTTCTTCATCTATAAAGTGGGTTTCACATGCATTTTTGGTTACAGGACCAGTGGAATGTAAGAACTCTATTAAAACACCTGCCAGAATTTCTGACATACTGTATATTGAATACAGTTGGTTAAGTAAGCAGTTGGTTTTAGTATTACCTATCACCGTTTTTCTGTAAAATTTGTGTGTGTTTCTCAGGGAAGCTGCAGCTCAAAAGAAAACTGAAGAGAAAATGAGGCAAAACTGCTACTCAGTAATATTTAGCCACAATATGTCCCCTCCTATAGTATGTATTATGTGATTAGATAGTATGGAGTGTGTGCCTGCTGGGACCAATGAATTCAGAGCTCCTGGAATTTTGGTGAAAAACCATATTCCCCTCCCTGCCAGCTCCTCTTCCACTGGAACAACTATTTTCAATCATATCCCCTTCACCAAAAGTCTAGCCTTGGAGGTCATGAGGCCTCTATGACAGCGAGGCTTAAAACCATTGTCATTCTAGTGACTAGGCAAGTTCAGCACAAATGGAGTTTCAACAAACTTCATGCAAAATTAAATATCCCAATATTACTAGCATAAACCTCCTTCACAAAGGAAATAATTAAAACTACCCCAGTGGACTCCTAGTATAAGACAGGGGAAAGACATCTCGAACACTGAGCAGGGTCTATGAAGGGAGAACCACTTGGTCAGGCCGTCCTCTGCCCAACTGTGTAACAGGCCAGTGTGACTGGCCAGATCCTCATGTCCATTTTGTAAGAGTGGTGAGAAAAACTGGACTCACAAGGAGAAATTGTTCCCAGGAAAGACAGTCAACAGAGCCTAGAAAACCCTGGAAAGCAGACACTCCTAGCAGAGAGCAGAGCACCTGGCCAGGGATATTAGTGCCTCACTTCACCTGAGAGTCCCTCTTACCTCTCAGGAAATCCTTGCAGAGTCTGTGCATAAGTTTGCTGTTTCTTACCCTGCCTAGGACCACTCTTCTCACAACTATCCCAGGCAAGGATTCCTCTCAGCTTCACCCACCATCTAAAAGCTCTGCTCAGAGTGGTCTTCCATCCTCTCAGGCTCAAGGCACCTCATCTGAGGGCCTGGTCCTGACCATGATGCAGCTGCATTAAAACCAACTCCCAAAGACTAAGCTGCGGTTACTCCAAGCCCCAAACTTCCATGGTTCAGCACTCACCATGGCTGCTCTCTGCTAGACTCCACTTTCTCGCTGCTCTGTTACCTGCCCTTTAGGTCCTTGGGGACATCCCTCTACCTGGGGACACTGCTGGTACTCCTGGACTCCACCATCCTGTGGGGTAGCTTGGATCCTGCTCCGTCTGGTTTCCTCATGTCTCCACACAGACACGGGGCCTCCCAAAGGGCACACGTGCAATGAAGGTTTGGTGTCAATGTGCCTTTGAGAAGATGGGCTTCTTTACTGACAATACATTTCTAAAGTATAATTGAAGAAACTAATCAAATTAAGGTATATATGTATTTTAATAGTATAGAACAACAGTGAAAAAGAAATAAGAATGAAAAAATTGATTTTTTCCTTGTGTCTATTTCTAGGCCCATCTAACTTCATATAAACCCCTTCTACATTTCCAAGATAATTCCTATTCCAATCATATTTTATTATAAATAAAATGAAAGGTTTCCCTTTTTGTATTACAAAATAGGAAAGGCTCTTAAAATCGGATTGAAAGACCAAAATACATTTGTGATCAAAATCACACAAAATCACATTTATAACTGAAATCATAAACAACAATATCAGAAAGCTAAGAATACAGTGAGATGAGTAGCATTCTCTAATGAAGATTTCCAAGCTGCTTCGATCTTGCAAAACAGGAACAAGAAATCAAAAAGTCACAAAGAAAACACACGCCTATTAAGAAATAACCCAAACAGAACAGACACCAAGTTGTCAAGCACAGTACTCCATCACCCACCCTGGGCCTCACTGCTGACAAAAGTGCTGCTCTGCAGAAACACGGCCTGAGAATGGGGCTCATTTCACGTGGGGTGGAGACCAAGCAGCGACGTGGTGGCAGCACACTCCCCACCCTGTCACTCATCCTCGCCCTCAAGGGCCTCAGACAGACCTTCTGCCTCTCTCAGCGCCTGCTCCTGTAGATGTGGGTAAGACCTGGGATCTGTCCTATCAAGACTGAACATGTGCTTCAGGACTTTCACTGGGCTGGTTTCAGCGTGGGCCCGTGGACCCCACCGCAGCTCACAGCGAGCAGGATCACTATTAGGAACCTGCTGGTACACCAGGTACTCTTCC